ACAGGAGGATTAGCAAAAAAAAAAAAAAAAAGAAAAACGCAAGAAATATTATGCAAAATGGGTGACCCTGGAGGACATTCTGCTGAGTGAAATATCTCAGTCACAAAAGGACAAATGCTACATAATGCCACTGTTGTAAAACAGGACTGACACTGGGGTCTGGGGGAGACTGAGAAAGATGGGATAAATTATTATACTGCATTGAAACAGGAAGAGAGCTGTGTAAAAGGAATATATGATTAGGTATATTATCATGACAAGAGTCCAGAACGAAGGCTGCATAGTGGGGTGGACTTGGCGGGAGGGATTGTACAATAATGAAAAAATTTTTCCTTTACTTTTCAAAGAGAAGAGTGAACTAGGGATGTGGGGGTGGGCAGGGAGAAAAGTGCAACAATGAATGAGGGGAAATCCAAAGTCTCTGTAAACTTTCATTAAAATTAATAATTTTTAAAAATGTAAAAAAAATTTTAAAAAAGATGAGGTAGAAGCATCTGGTTTGACCAACACATTTGTACAAAAAAGATGCGGTGGTACCCCAAAAAGAGAGTGAGGAGGAAAGGCAGGGTGCACAACACTTTCAAGGACATGATCTCATCACATGTTAACATCTCTAGGAGATTTTTCTATGACATTTACCGAAAGGGACAGGGCTTAAAGAGGCTAGGTCATTTGTCCCATGTTAAACAACAGCCTGCCAATGCTAAACCTAGGCTTTTCCCATCACTCCTGCTTCCAATGGGGTAACGATACTTCGGCCATTCAGAAAACTCTGTTTTCTCAGGCTGCCACATTATTCTCTTCTCTGTACTCAAACTTTACCTACAAATTGGATCTACCACTTCAATCAACCGTTTAAACTTTAGATCTACTTTTCTATATTTACAAAGCAGCAACAGAATTACCTGCCTAAGGAATCATTTGGGCAGGTCAAACAATATACATGAAAGCAATCGACAAAATTTAGTGATTCATATACATGTTGGAGAAGAATACTGAATATCCCTGTTAAGAGAGCAAAGAAGTCTGTCTTGGATGTAAGGGACAAACAATATAAGGGGCTGCATCCTTGGGATGTGGCTGTGTGCCTTGCACACAGAAGGTGTCTTCAGAAGGAAGATTACAAGCAGTTCCCATACATCTTTAGACACCGACTTTTGTGAGAGTATAAACAAAAGTTCCTGCTCTTGATAAAGTTGTTGCAAAATGAGAGAAAGCACAGTTTATGAATACAAAGAAGTCTTGCTTGAATGTATGCTTTTTTATCTGTGTACACCGGCCCATCCAGGCCCTGTGAGCTAAACCTTAATGTTTCTATTTGTACCTGGCCCATTTGGGCCCTGTGAGGTAATCCTTAATGTTTCCATTTTTCTGTGAACCATTCCTTTGTTTCTGAATGCTAATAAAAGCAAAGGTTTTGGGATTCCTCAGGGCTAGTGGCCTGAGCGAGCTTCTAGCCCTTTCTGGATTTACAACCTTCTTTGCTAGTCTTCCTTCCACTCCATCTGTGAGAAACAACATTAGAGGAGTGCAACCAGAGTCTCCTTAGAGGCAAGGACAGTGAAACTTCATCTCACATACTTTGAGCATGTTGTGAGGAACATCATGCTTGGGAAGGTAGAGGGACATCGTAGGAGGGGAAGACCCTCTATGAGGTGGATTGATACAGTGACTGGGGTAATTGGGATGGGTGTGTCGGAGGCAGTGTGATTGGCACAGGACAGAGCAGAGTTTAGGGCTGTTGTATATAGGGTTGCTATGAGTCGCCAGCGACTCAACGGCACATAACAACAACAACAACAAATATGGTTGGTTCCTTGTGTCCCAGAAAATAGAGCATGCCTCAATCTCCTACATCATTGATTTCTACTTCAGGTGAATTCACTACTTCTTTCTTCTGAATCTCAACTACCACAAAAGAGTGACTAAGCAAAGACAGATAGATCTTCTACCAAACAACTTTACCAGACCTTGAGTGCCACCAGTCATTGTCCTCACAACATTATCTTTGGGACTTTCACTTGATCTTCTGGTGAACGCATGTAAAAATGCCTGAAAATAGAAAGAAACATAATTAAATAGAAAATAAATAAATAGAAAAATAGGAATGTTATGTTTAAATATCAGTCCCATTCTTTGGAGCCCTGAGAGTCTGACATTCGATAGGAATAGTAAAATTCCAGATTTCCTCTTACTTCAGAGACTTTCTATTTAAAGGATTATGGCTTAACTGAACCCAGGAATTCTCTCAATAAAAAAGAATATTGATTTGTTTTCTGTGTGTAATTAAGACTGTACCCAGGTAAGTAGTTTGGGAACATCCCCAAGGAAGGGAAGGTTTTGCAGGGACTCTTTCTAAGCAGTACTAACCAGCAACTAATTTAGGGGCCACAGAGACTTGTGCAAAAGTGAAGGACCAGCTTTTCCATCTTGTCACAAAGATCCATCTTGTTATACTGGCTTTGCAGGAAGTTACATATCATTTTTGTGACCACTGTGAAGTCACCCTACAGGTTTTCTCTTTCTTCAAAAAATGAAACAATAATGGAAAGTATCTGGCTGAGATTTTGAGGTAAATTATGGCTTTGTATTTTCTAGCACTCTTCTCTTTTTAACATTCCCTCCCTCCCCACACCCTTGCAATGTGAGCTCATTTCTTTCTCTTATTCTTTTTTTCCCCTCTCTCCTCCTCCTCCTTTCTTTCCCACAATTATTCTACTCTCCTACTTTCAATGTATTGTCCAGCAAGCGCAGAATGTGTGTGTGAGAAAGAGGAGGAGGAAGGGGAGGGAGAGGAGACAAAAAGGGAAGAGGAAAGGAGATAATAGGGAAGAGATGAGGGATGGAAGAGAGAAGGGGTGAGAAGAGAGAGGAGGGAGGGGAGGGGAGGAGAGAGAGAGCAGGAAAGAGTTTGGGGCAGCAACACTCCTTAGCATAACTAACTGATAGGTGCATTCTGGAGTTGACTAACAGCAACATACATTTCATCTCATGTCTCTTCAAAGTCTCTTGCATATAATCAGTAAAAACCATGTCATAAAATTAGAGATAGGCTTTCTGGTTACACAAGTTAAAAAAAACTGAGCAATGGATACAAAGTGGAATTATAAAATTTCATTTGTTGTAGTTATTGATTGCCATCGAGTCAAGCATGACTCATAGCGACCCTATGAACAAAAGTCCTGAACCCTGTTCTCTAACTATCACCATTTCTGTAAGTTCACAGAGTTTCCAGAGGCATGTTGCTTAGGAAGTGAATGCCACTCTTGCTTCCAAGCCAGTCTTAATCTGGTAGCTCCACCAAACTCTGTCAACCATGGGGAAACATTATGGCATTTGACACACCAGTGGTACAGGGTTGAGCAGCACAGCAATCCCAGGTTCCCTCTGTACAGCAAATGGACAGACCAGTGCTGGACCAATTAGATGAATGTTCCTCTAAAATATAATAACACCAAGCTGGTGGCCCTCAGGCCCAACCTACTTTTAAATACAAAAGTCATCCACCAGATCTAGTTGACTCTAAACAAGAGGCTTAAAAAAAAAACAGCCCACCAAACAATCCACACCCAACCCTCAACCAAAATAAGAGAGCCCACCTCTCAGAATTCAACTGCTTCACACATCAGCCTCCAAACTGGAGACTTAAGGCCCAACTTTAAATATACAGGCCCTCCTCCAGGTCCTGCTGACTCTGTAAAAGGCTTAAATAAAAAACAACCCCATCAACCAGGTAGATTGACCCAATGACTGCTGCATTGGCTCTTGTGTGTCAGGAAGTCCAAGAATGATACAGAATGGAACAAGGTTCGGATCTTTTGTCCACAGGGTCACTATGAGTAGTACACAATTCAACGGTATCTGACAACAACAAACAACAATCTTCCTGAGAACAACATTAGCAACTAGAGTTCAGTATTTATCCACAGATTCTTGGGACTTTTAGAATCTTACAGGTTCTAAACAAAACAGCATTTTCTGAAATTATTTGTTGGAATATTTCCCTATAGCTTTTTAGACGATCATAGATTGTCAGAGTCTCCTGTCCATCTTGGTATTTCTCTATCTCAGGATTAATTTTCCTTTTGCATACATTAAGTTTTACTTATTTTGTTGTAACGGTCTAAGGGTTTTAATCCATAAAAATCAATAATGTCATATGTCCATCATTGTCAAACCATGTGGGTTATTGTCCTCACTCTAAACATTCTCTGTACTTGTGTAGTAGTATACTCTCTCCTCCTCAAGCCTGATAAACACTGGAGTGTTTCTCTTCTTATACCTTTGCCATTTCTATAATGTCATATTAGTGAACTCTATGAACATGTAAAAAAAATAAATAAATAAAAACCAACCAACCAGGAAAACAATGCATTTGAATTTTGTAAATATACTAGTATATTTTTAAAAATAAATAAATAAAATTTTATAAAAGAAAATAAAGACCATCTAAACAGTCCACGCCTTACTCTCAACCAAAACAAGAAACCCCACCTTTCTGAACTCAACTGGAGACTTAAGACCTGACCTTAAATATACAGGCCCCCTCCAGGTCCTGTTGATTTTAAGTAAGAGGCTTAAATTAAAAAACAAACCAACCAAATAGTCCACACCTTACCCTCAACCAAAACAAGAAAGCCTGTCTTCAATTTAGATATTATCAAAATTTCACTTATAATAATTTTGCGTAAAACATATTTCTGGATATTTTTATTTAAAGTGAAAACAATAACTAACTTGGGGGGCTAATATTAATCCCTTCATTATTATTAGTCCTTCTCATATCTATGGGCAAACAGATTTGAAAACTACTTTATGCAATAATGTGATTTTTTAAAAATTTTTATTTTATTATTTTGTGTGTGTGTACTGTCAAATTGGATCTGACTGGTACAAGAGGAGATTGCCCCTCCTTCTCCAGCAGAGCATTTGGTGGATTCGAACTGCATTCCTCTGGGATTGCAGTAAAGCTTCTTGCCACTAGGCCACCAGAGCTCACAATAATGTGAATTCTTTCTAGAGATCTCTGGGAAGATCACAGTTCCTAAAATGCCAAAGAGTAACTACACGCTCATAATTACACTTAGTGCTGTTGAGCCACAACATAGCTGATCCTCTAGTATGTTTCTGGAGGTTATAAGAAATGCTAGTGAATTGAACTACCAGAGGCACGACCTTTGGGATAGCAGGGCAATATCCTGCAGACTATGCCAAATTGTTGTTGTCATTGTTATGTGCTGTCAAGTGACTGACTCATAGTGACCCTCTCTATAACAGCTCTTAACCCTGCTCTATCTGTGCCAACCTTACTGTCTCTGACACACCTACCCCTATAAAACTTTATAATATCTGTAATAATTTGTCTTCCCAGCTGCCCTTTGAAATATTTTCAGCTCCTTAATTTCTTTATTTCTTCCCTTTGCTTTGGCTTCTCAGTGCTCTAGTGCAATATTCAGCATTTTATCTGATAGCCATCTTGGTCTTTTCTTCTTCCTCTTGTAATGATCTTTTGCATTCTTCAAGGACAATTTTCTTGATATCCTCCCAGGGCTCATTTGGTCTTCGCTCATTGGTGTTCAAGGCCTCAAACCTGTTACAGGGATGGTTTTGAAATTCAAGTAGGATGGACTCAAGGTCAAATGTTGGTTCCTGTGGATTTGGTTTTATTTTATTTAGCTTCAGCTTGAATTTAAATAAGAGTAGTTGATGGTCTGTTCCACAATCAGCACCTGGCCTAGTTTTCACAGCTGATATTGAGCTTCTCCAGAGATTCCTTCCATGGATGTAACAGACATGATTATTTTTAAATTGTTTTTAAATGGGAGATCTGGTGGTCTAGTGGCAAGAAGCTGCACTGCAATTCCAAAGGCATGGAGTTTGACTCCACCAGCTGCTCTGAGGGAGAAGGATGAGCAATCTCCTCCTGTGGGATTAATTGCATCTGAAAACCCACTGGAGGGTCAGCTATGGGTTGGACACAACAACGACAATAGGGCACAGCAATAGTCATTAACACCAGGTAATAACAAAATAAAGATACCTGTAACTGACTGTGAAGCTTGCTATGTCCTAGACTGTCACATTTGAAAATGCTTCAAATATAGTCTTTCTTTTAACTTTCACAGCAACTCTAAGAGGTCGTGTGATCATGATGATCATTTTACACATGAGATTCAGTGTAGTTATATTACCTCTTTAAAACGGCAAAACCAAGATTGAAATTTAGACACCTCTTCCCTTTTTGTAGTTTTCAAAATGTTTTTTGCATCGTTGTGGTATGTATGCATGATTTATAATAAATTGGTAACCCCATTTCAAGATAAAACCAGCTTTGGGTACTAAGAATCAACTAAGGTGTGCTTCTCAAGGCATGCTGCTTTAAAAGGTAAGTGGACCACTTGACACACCCGCATAGGGAGGGCACTGCTAGAGCAAGCACTTTGTAAATATCTCAGTTGCTGTCCCGGTGGTTGAGAACAGGAACCAGCATTTCTTCTTTATGAGGGCAGTGGTGGTTCAATAGTAGAATTCTTGCCTTCCATATGACACACCATATAAGGGCAAAACCTTGATCTGTTCTTCATGAGCTGGATGTAGTTGACTCAATGGCACTTAATATATGAGAGCAGAGTTTGACCCCCAGTCAATGCAGCTTATCGCCCACCTGGTCTGTCAGGGGAGGCTTGCATGTTGCTAGAATGGGAAGCAGGTTACAGCAGAGCTTCCAGATTAAGACAGATTGGGAAGAGAGACTTGATGATCTACTTTTAAAATCAGCCAGTAAAAACACTACAGATCACAACAATCAAATCGGAAACTGACCAGGATGTGGGGTAAGACCAGGGAGAATTTTGTTGCCCTATGGAGAGAATCACTATGAATTGGGGCTGACTCAAAAGAGCAGCTAAAAAAAAGAGCAGCTAACAACATTTCTATTACTTAACTTTCATAAAGTCAGGGTTCTAACATGTGGGACTGCTTTTATGCTAGTAATTTTCCATTACTTTCTAAGAATCTGTTCATTGGAGAGTCCCTTGATTGTGTCAGGGACGGTGAGGATGACACAAGATAGGACAAGGCTCAGCTCTGTTGTCCATAGGCTCACTGTGAGCTGACTCAAAGGCACCTAAAAACAACAGGTTGTCTCTTGATAAACAATCTAGCAAGGGTTACAGGAAGTAGAAAGGTTATCTCACAGGTATATCTTACGATAATTGTCCACCACCAACTAAAACATTTGAACAGGAAAGTAGAAAACAATGTTATTTTAATTATGTGAAGGTATCTGAGTAGGTTCACTTGCCAGAAGGATCAGAAAAAAAATATATTAAACCATACCTGGGTGCTCTCCTCGTCAACTGTGTGCACTAGGAAGTAAACTTTCTGTAAGGTTCTCCGCCATGAAGTGCTACTAAATTGGAACACTTCTGAAAGAATTAAGTCAGCAAAAATAGCCTTGGGGAACCTCTGATTTCTTGTTCCGATCACTGGAAATATGATGGATGACAAAGATAGTTGTTCTGTTCTTGTCAAGCATTCCAGGATTATATTTGCCATGATCTGAAATACAAAGTATGTTGATTATAAATTGGTGGAGAACAGGGAGCTGTGGTCGCAGTAACTTTGACAAGCACCTCTCTGGTCTTATTGATCTTGTCCGACCTGGAGTCAAAAAGGCAAAACCAGAAGAGGGAGATTTTGGAATGACTTCTCCAAGAAATTCATACTCATTTAAGAGAATAGGGTACATACACCACCATTCCTTAACACTCTAAAAAACTATGTTCATAAAGAGTTTTTAACAGCATGGAGGAATGCTAATGGTAAGTTTAAAAACTGGCAGAATTTAAAAGTAGTGTTTAGAAAAGACAACAAGTTAAAGGTAAACAACCCAATTGCAAAGTGGGCACAGGATATGAACAGACACTTCACCAAAGAAGACATTCAGATGGCAAACAAACACATGAAGAAATGTTCAAAATCCCTAGCTCTAAGAGAGATA